GCCGTCGTCGGCCGGGTCGCAGCGCGGCTGCTCGCAGCGCAGGCCGGTGTAGCCGCGCGGGCAGGCGCAGCGCTGGTTCTGCAGGCACGTGCCCCCGTTCAGGCACAGCAGCTGGTCGTCGTCGCACACGTTGGCTGCGGGCGAAGGGGCGGTGAGCGGGGGCGGCCGCGGCCTCCCCGCCCCTCTCCTCCGCCGCCCTTCCGCGGGGCCTCCGCTTCCTCCCGCGGCTCCCTCCAGCCGGGGAGGTGGCGGGGTGGGAGGGTCTCCGGCCGCCTCCCTGGGCGCGGACCCCGCCCACCCCTCACTAGGCCCCGCCCACAGGCGACCCCGCCCCACCGCAGAGCCCCGCCTCTGCCCAGCCATCCCGAGCCCCGCCTCTGCAACAAGGCCCCGCCCACCCCGGCCCCGCCCACCCCGGCCCGCCGGCACTCACGGTAGCAGCCCTGGCGCCAGTAGTGCGTGGGCAAGCAGTCGTCGCACTTGGGCCCCATCGCGCCCTCGCGGCACTCGCAGAAGCCAGTCTCATTGCACCGGTCGTGCACGGAGCCGATCTGGTTGCAGTTACACTCTGGGCGGACACCGGCACGGGCGCGGTCAGGGGCCCCCCGCCTGGCTCCGCGTCCCCCAGCCCGGTGCTCCCCAAGCCGCGTCTGCGGAGCAGGGGAGCACCGGGGTCCAGATCTCGGGGGCGGACTCTCCTGGGCCTTAGCACGGTGTGCCCTGCGCTGTCCCTGCGCCCCCTGGTTAACTGGTGGGGCCGGCGACGCTTCCTGGCCCTCCCTCCCTGAGAGCAGGGCCCGGCAGGTGGCCGGCGCCTCATGGGGCCAGCAGGCATCTGTCCAGGAGGCCCCGCGGTGCGCGGCGCCCCCTCCGTCCCTAGGGCTCCTCCCAACCCCCCTCCCTTAAGCGCCGGGCCGGGCCCGCCGTCCCTGCCCCTGGAGACGAGAGAAGGGGCTCCTGTAATCGGATCCAGAGGCCGCGCCGTGGCCCTGCAGCTGGCCCCTGTGCTTGGCAGCGCGATTGTTTTGATCACTTTAGCCCTGATGGAATTATCTGAAGGCCGCGGCGGACTGAGGCCAACGGCTCGGCTCTGCAGGGGGCGGGGCTGCGCCTGTGGGGGTGGGGTCCTCAGGACCTGGCCCCTGGGGAGACAGGCTGGGGGTGCCCGGGCTACCCCTCTAGTCTGGAGGGCGCTGGTCAGGGGTGATGCACTTGGCCTGTGGCGACTGGCTGTGGCCCTCTAGGCCCAGGACTTCAAGGGACTTCCTTCCCTAGCCCTCATCAGGGAGCAGGGCAGTGAGGAAAGTGGGCCAGGTGCCCACTGCTGCCTAAGCCCGGCCCCTACTTAGAAAGCATTTGCAGGCACCGTCAGCAACAAAGGAGCATTGGAAACCTTCCACCTAAGCCAGCATGATATCGCATGCCTGTCATCCCAGCCCTGGGGAGGCTGAGGCAGGAGGATCCCTGAGAGTTTGAGACTAGCCTGAGCTACATAGTGAGTTCAAGGACAGCCTGAACAACACAGTGAGATGCTGTCTCAAAAACAAAACAAAACAAAATGGAGAACCTTTCACTGCATGGAGCCACCTCCTGATTTTCCAGTGGGGAGCCCTGGGGGCCAGGCAGACCCGAGAACCCAGCCTGCCCCTGCACTCGCCCCTGCTTACCAATGCAGACGTTCTCGTCATCCAGCTCGGCTGAGCCGTTGCGGTAGTAGCCCAGGCGGCAGTGCTGGCAGTGCTGGCCACGCGTGTTGTGCTTGCAGCTGACGCAGGTCACCACATTCAGGAAGTCGATGTAGCTGCAGCGGTTGGAGTGACCATAGCACTCGCAGTCTGGGCCAGCCAAGTGGGAGAAACGCCAATGGTCAGGGGCACCGGGGGAGACTGAGGCACCAGGAGAGAAAGGGCCCACCCACTCCGGGACGTGCAGGGAAGGAGGCATCTTTGCAAAAGGACCTGAAATGTTTCACGGCCTCAAACGCTTCCACGGCATTTGAGAAGAGACAGGCCCGCCAGCTTTGGGCTGGGAGGAGGACCTAGCGAGGCCTGAGGGCAGCATCTGCCCTTGTCCAGCCTGGCACCGGGCCAAGTGCTCTGTGAAGGTGCCCACGCACCAGGGAGATTAGCAAGTGATTCATGCAAGGGCAGGGTCATGACCCAGACGGTGAGCTCAGGGAGGGCTGCTGGGGTTCTGGCAATCACCACTGCATCCCCAGGGGTGGCATGGATGGGTGAATGCATGCAGGAATGCTGGGCAAGATGGAATGGGCCAGGAGCTTCCTCTGTGCTGCTTTGGAAGAGAGGTGGGAGAAAAGTGCCCGCCGTCCCCGCCCCTGCAGGTCCTGCTTAGTCACCTGAGCTTTCCGAAAGTTTTGTCGGCACCAGGGCGCTATCTGTGTGCCATTGTGGGGCATTTTCCAGTGCCACTGTCATGTGGCTCTTAGGCTGACCCCTGCCCAATTGCTCTGCAAGTCCCACAAGTGCCTAGGACCCAGCATTTGGGGCTTGGGGTGGAACCCATGATATCGAGAAGGGACAGGGTCAGATGCAGGGGGGACCCTGGAATCAGCCCATGAAGTGTGCCCGTCGTGAAGGAGGACATTCCCACGGTGGACCTCCCAGACCTGCCCCTATGCCTTGTCCCTGCGGACATAGCGAGGAGGCAAGGCATCCTCCCAGTATCCCAAAGAGCGGCGCTGGTGACCCTAGTGTCCCAGATTCTGCGCCAGTCAAGATGAGCCCCTAGGCCGCACCTCCCCGGGGAGCCAGGACAGGCTATTTCCGGCAGCTGCTGTGCCCGCCATGCGCCTGCCCACTGTGCCCAAGTTGGCTTCTGACTCATCCTCTGCTCCCAGCTCCCTTGGGGCTGGAGGGCCGGGGGAGACAGACTGTTTCACCTTGACCCAGCTACTGCAGGCGGGTGTGCTGGGCCGGGCATCACTTTCTCTCCAGCGGAGATGGGCAGAGGTGTTGGAGGGGGCTGCTCCAGCCCCAGGCCTTCCTCTTACCTGGGAATTCTTCCATAGGCATCACTTGAGGAGATTTAGGCTTGAGCTGGAAAAGTTTGGAGCCCTTGGCAGGGGCACGGGCAGCGGCAGAGGTGCCCGCAGCTTGGAGAGACGAGAAACAACTTCTTTCGTCTACCATGGCTCCCAGGCACACAGGGAAAAGTTAGACAGACTTCCGAGGCGCTCGGCGCCAGCTCTGGGGCAGCCTTGTCACCTGCTCATACTGGCACGGCCCCAAGGTAGGGAACCTGCCCCTCTCAGCACCCTGCAGAGCCAGCCCCAGGACCCCTCTGAGACCCTGGACACATCTGACTGGATTAGACCGCCACGTGACCTCCACGTGGGCACCTGCTGACGTGGGTGTCTTCTGGGGTCCATCCCTGGACTGCTACTTGCAAGTGCTGCCCAGCTGAGAACACAGGCAGCGCCTGCCTTCCACCGCCTGGCGTCCCCGGGGGCCCAGCCGCATACTTGGGGTGAACAAGCCACTATTCTGGGACCATCACTGCCTCCGCTACCGTCTGGGAGTCTGTGGCATTTCAGTGCATCCAGGGAACCGATGGCCACCGCGGTCTCTGTCTCTGAAGCCAGAGAAGATGCCCCAATTTAGGGGAGTCCGCGGTACCCAGAACCTCTGACTCTAACTGTGGGCCTGCCTGCAGCCACTCTCCAGCAGAGGGCGCTCAAAGACCTGGTAGCTGTTCGGAGCTGGAGACGCAGGAGGCGGGGTTGGCCCAGGGACACAGGCCTGGGAACAGTGCTTTCTTGGAGAGTCAGGAAGGCCCCCCGCGTGCTTCCTGTGTGTGTCCACCTGTGGCCCGGCGCTTGGCTCCTCCTGCAGCCCTCCACCCTCGCTACTGGGCACACCGGGCACACCGTCCACAGCGTCAGCCTCGCCCCAGCTGGCCCTGAATGTGCCACCTTCCCCCTTCTGCCCACAGCCACCCACCTCTAGCTCTGTCTGTCTCCTGCCTGTGCCCTCGTGTCCTGTGAACCAGGGTGGCCAGAGAGAGGCTCCTGTATCTCCACCCGCTCTCGACCCCCAGGCCCCTCCCACAGGGGACAGTTGGGAGGTAGAGACTCTTCTGCCAAGAGCTCGCCAAGCCTTGCCCCTACACCCCTCCCAGCCGGCTCCCACCACGGACACCCGCCACCTCCACTGACACAGAGGGAGCACCCGAGTCAGACGGCCCCGCCCTGCCCCTACCTTCTGCTCTGGAGGACCCCTGGGGCCAGGGGGGGCTCTGGCCAAAGGAGGCCACTGTAGATGGCCTGGTCCATTCTTGGGGGGAAGAAGCACAGAAACCAAATTATGCGAGGGTGCCATGTCCCATAACCCACGGGCCCCCGAGAGGCAACAGCGCTCTAAGGGAGAAGCTGTCTACACTGGCCGGAAGACCTGGGTCCAAACACACTACAGAGGCAGCGTCTACACTACTGCAGCCTGTGACGGGCTCGCACACACTGAAGCCAGACAAAGGGGGCCCCTTGTCGAGAATCTGCATGTTTGGGGCAGTCCTTTTTTCAGGGGGACACCTGAGCAGGGGGCTCCACGTGTGGCTCCGGCTCTGACATGAGACGGAGCCCCTATCCAGTCCCAGCTGTGCTGTCTGGCTGAGCCGCAGCAGGAGGGGGGTGTGTCCTGGCCAGGCTGCCGGGTGTCCCTGGGAGGGACCTGGACAGCTTCTTGCCCAGCCTCCACCGAGGGACCCGAGTGTCCTTCAGCGTCACCACCCTCCCACCTCCCTGAACCCCGCTCTGAGCTCCTTCCCACCGGGGACCCCAATGTGCGTCCCCCTCCTGGCGCTCGGTACTCGTTTCCAGACTAACTGGATGCATGGAGAATTCAAAGGACAGACCGCAGGGCCGGGGGGAGAGGTCTGACGTTTTCGCTTCTTAAAGGGATTACTTGCAACCAGGGTTGATGGGCAGAGACAAAGAAAATCCCCCCGCTACAAAGTGCGGCGGACTTCCCAGCTGGGAGCCGGGAGCCTTTGGACATCAAACTGACATTAATACGGTGTTCAGCGAGGAGAGGAGGCCGCGGGACCCAAATTGGCAAGGGCTTAATTACAGCCTCGGTAAAAGCAGCCCTGAAGGCATTCTGCTTTGGAGCCGGCTGCCCCCACTCTGCGGGAAGGATTAGCGGGCTCCAGGAGAGCTTCACCCGCCCCGCCCTGCAAGGAGGACGCTCCTCCGGGCCAGGGCATCAGGGCCCAGCTGGCGTCTGGCCAGATAGTACCTATTGGAGGGGGATGGAGAGGTGGGGGCCTTTCTAGGGGCTGGGGTCAGGGGAGGGAAAGTCCTCTGCCGGGTTTCCCGAGGACACACTCAGGTGTGCGAGCGAGTGTTCTCCAGGTGGCCGGTGTCTTGTGCCAAGAGCAGATGGAGACCCCGGCTGTTCCGTTGGAACCGGGAAGCCGTGCAGGCCAGGGCTTAAGGACAGCTCCGCCTCCCAGTGCTCCAGGGCCTGGGACAGTGGTGCTGGCTGGCAGAGGGGCAGGGGGCAGCTGGAGCCCATGGGCCTCAGGCCTCAGCACCCTGGTGCCTTGGGCCGCTGCCTCTCTTTTCTTTTTTAAAAAATGGCTTCATTGAGGTATAATTGACACAGTGCAAAGCCAGCTGCTTCTTCCTAAGCCTTGATCCCCTCCCCTGCTGGATGAGGAAAATAACAGCCTCCCTGTCCCAGAACAGGGGGCCAGGGCCGTGACCCCCGCTGTTCCCTACCTGGAGCTGGCATCATTAGCAACAGGGCTCCAGGCAGAGGTGCGGTGAGGACCCCCAGCATGCAAGGCTCAGGCCACTGGCTGCCACCTTAGAGCACCTCCTGCTCCCACACCTGGCCGCCCTGTGCAGGACTTGGGTCGAACGTGTGCACCTGGCCTTGTGCCCCGGCAGCCCCCCGTCTGGAGCCAGACTCCACAGCCCACCCTCTTCAGGACTATTTTTACTTCTGTCCGCCCAGAACAGGCTCAGCAAAAAATAAATTAAAAGAGCACAAGTCTCAGGAGGCTGGGAAATGGGAGTGAGCCCTGCCTGTCCTCCACCCTGGCCCGGGAGGCTCCCTGAGACGCTGCCAGGCCCCTGGCCGGCCAAGAAGGGAAAGGAGCGACTGCGTTCCACTCCCGGTGAGGTGCCTGAAAGGGGACTTTGTCAAGGCATCTGCTGTCACCTGGAGAGGTTGGGCAGGTGCCCTTGGCTTGCCTGGGAGGCCTGAGGTGATGAGGGGTGCCTCGTCCTCAGAGAGGAGTCCTGTCTCAGGAAGGTCGGGGCACTACCCCGTCCTCCCTGCAGGGGGTGGTGTGGGACAGGAAGCGGTACTCTCGGCAAGGTCTGTTCCTTGCAGGCTCCAGGCCCCTGCAGCGGGTGTGACCTGGAAGGACACTCTGGGAAGTCCAGGGGAGACCAGAACTCTGCCCCAGCCCCCAATACCTCAGTAACCCACACATGTGCCTTTGAGGGGGGACTTAGAATCAACCAGGTTCCCAAACCCGTCGGGAGCTGAGACGCCTGCAGATGGCCCTACCCCACACCCGCGGCCTCCGGTGCCCAGCGGCTGCTTCCTCCCAACCCCCCTTCTGCCTTTGCCTGCTCAGCTAATCCCGCATCCACCCTGCCAGGTGGCCGGCTGGGGTGGGGCCTGAGCCAGCTCCCTGATCTGACCCTGAGCTGAGCACCCTTGGGGGACCAGGTGCCATCTCCATCTGAATGTCAGCATGGTCTCGCCGCGGCTGCCACCAGCCCCCTCCTCCCAGGGTCCCCTGTCCCCTGGGCCACACAGGCCGCAGGGCCTTCCAAGGAATGTGTCGGAGGGGCAGGAGGAAGGGTTGGGGGCTTGGACAGGCGCCGGGGTCCCCCTGGAAGCCCCCTCGGCCTGTTTCTGGTGGCTCTAGGTGCTGCTAGCGTTTTCTACTCTAAGAGGAGCGCCCCGCCACTCATGCAGAGGGAGGCAGGGCACTGGCTACAAGCAGCAGGGGACAGCAGAGGTCACTGGGGGAGCCTGGCACCCACCTGTGGGCTGTGGGGTGCTGGGAGCTGTGGGTGCCTGTGTGGTAGACGTGGAGGGGGTGGATGGCGTGGCCCCCCTCCTCGTGGCCACAGTGACCACGGGGGATTTGGGGGCGGGGTCCTTCCGGGACCTACCGCTGCCTGGGAAGAGGTGGGGCAGTAGGAGGGAGGGTCAGTGGGCTGGCACCTCTGAGAAGCCACTTCCTGTGACCACGGCTGTGCAGACCCGGGTCCCAGGCAGGGTCCCCTTCCTTCCGGGGCCCTCTCTGCCTGCCAGCACCCCAGCTCCGTGGGGGAGAGACAGTCGGGGAGGGATGTCCCCACGCACAGAGCCCTGGTGGGGGGAGACAGTGGGTCCCAGAAACCCCTCGGATGTGAGGGTCCGCCACCAGCTGCTGGCTCGACCTGGCACGGCCAGCCTTTTTTTTTTTTTTTTTGGTACTGGGACTCATACTCAGGACCTTGCGCTTGCTGAGCTATATCCCGGGCCCGGCTGCTCTTGCTGGCACTCGAGATGACAAATCTCCCCGGGGAGTGGGGGCTTTTGGGGTTAAACCAAGGAGTCCTGTGCACGCCCGCCCATCCTCCTCCTCCTGAGTTCCGGGCTCCCTGCCCCCTGCGGGTGCCCTGGGGGCTGGGCTGAGCGGCACACCGCACGGGGACAGGGGCTCGCACCCCCGGCCTCGTGGTGGCAGGGCGGGCGGGGGCGCAGGGAGTCCGACCAAGACGAAGGGACCCAGGCGAGGCCCGCAGCTTTCCAGAGCAGCGCGAAGGAAGCTCCCGGCAGAGCCGCGGAGCGCCGGGGACGGGACGCCGGGGACAGGCGGGGCGCGGGGCAGGGCGGC